CTAAACATTTATGAAGTTATCGGAGACCTCGATAAGTGCCTCAGCCGATAAGCGCTTGAGCCTCCTTCTGCTTCAGGCTCTACTTTAGAATCAGCAAAAATACTGTATCAGAGCAGCTTCCGAATGTAAAAAATCAGGCCTTACTTGCATTTGTATGGAGATAGCTTCCCTATCGCTAAGCATTTCAGCCAACGTTTTTGTTCCTAGTATATTCCTGAGTGTTGTTTGAGCCAGTAGCTTCGTTGATCGGCTTGCATCCTCAACGTTCGTTACAGATATTGTTGCGTTCGAAATGCGGAAATACACAACTGCATCCACAGCTACCGTCACCGAATCTCGAGACAAAATCTGGAAATTTAAGACGCTTACATCAACACGGCCTAGTAGGCGATTCCACGTAATGTCTATTCTGTCCTAGTCTGCTGTTAAGTACCCCGCGAACAATTTCTTATCATTGCAAATGCAATAAAAAATCTGGACAAATACCTCTTGTGGTGGGACATCAAACGAAACCACACGCAAATCCACTTTCCTATATGAATCGATGCAGGGCAGAATGAAAAATAGGCCTGTAATCCAAAATACCATTAGCAAACGCGAAACTGTGGTCGTGAGATTTCAAAAATTAGAAGTGCACGTGCAGAAAGAAGTACTGTACCAGGTCCACGTGCTCTGCCAGTCATTAGCCTCCCTAGCCGGAATATTACTGCTCGTTCGTATTCCTGCACAACCTGTAATATACCTCTATTCCATCTACCAGCATAGCATTCGTACTTTAGCGTCAACGTAGAAGCAAACTTAGTATGTATTATGCATTGTGTTAATCATGCATGCTGAAGGTTAAGATTTCACTTGGCTCCACAATGCAACATTACTGTCCTGGCCGAAGTCCCTTACTCTCGCATGCAAGAAACGACCAAAATGCAGCCAGTATGAGTGCACATGCTAAAATGCAAAGCAACAGGCATTCGTACGTCGTCAAGTCATGGTCTTATGAAAGCTCACTTTTTCTCCCCTCAAAGCGGCAGCGTTTCGCTTGTGAGGCTCTGCAGGATGTCCTTGATTACTGATTAGTCACAATCCTATCAATTTATTTCGAAAATTACATATACGGGGTGGTACATCTTGTTACTCTTCCTATTTTTTCACGCTGAACAGATTAGAAAGCTTGTCTCGTCTGCACAGGAAAATAGAAAAAAATCAAGTCAAAGTCATAAGCTTTAGGGTCAAAACTTTCACCAACATATGTCAAATCAGCAGAAATGAAGACGCGCAGAATTTCCATGAAAGGTCGTTCACGTTTACTTCCTGGCAAAATGACACCCTTTATTTATATTATTTTTTGTTAAAATCAGCTCGGTTCTCTTGTTACTTATTGGTTTGTTGCCCACTCGTAAAATCAAGCTCAGCTGGTTGCCAGGATTTTTTTACAGTTTATAGTTTTTTAGCTGGGAGAGGGAATTCCGA